GGGTCTCCCTGCCCCATCCCAGCCCTGACCACAGGTCCCATGTGTCCCAGTCTGCAGGAATCACAGCAGGGCTGAGGCTGGAGGCAGCTCAGTGTCCATCTGGTCCTATCCCTGCTCCAGCACAGTGTGACCAGGACCACGTGGCTTCAGAGACCCCACAGCCCCTCTGTGCAGGCACTTATTGATGGGATCCCCCTAAGCCTGCTCTCCTTGCCAGCTTTGGGACATGCAGGACATCCCCAGGCTGCCGGGTGCCCAGCCATCCCCGAGCAGATGGTTACTGAATGGAGCACCCAGTGCCCATCGGTATGCCCAGCGCTGCCCTGGCTGCCAGCATGGGGATGCTACCCCCAACGCGGTCCCGGCAGTGGGATCCCACCCGGTCTGTGTTGCCGAGGACACGTCAGGATACAGCTGCTTCGACCCCAAAGCTGCGGTGCTGTTCTGCTCCCGAGCACGGGGGTCTCGGTCTCCAGCTCACTCCCCCCTCACCCCCTCCGGCTCTTCCAGTTCTGGCTTCGTGGGAACAGATTGGGAACCCGCTCCTGCCTGCATTGCTGCCTGCTGCCCTCTCCTGTCCGCAGGCAGAAGTGCTGAGGGCTCCTGGCTGTGCTCTTCCGGGATCCTGGATTTGTCTTTCCAAGTCCTCTGCTCTCCCTGCACGGTTGTGACGCTGCTACTCGCCCCAGGCTGCCACTACCCCCGGGCCAGGCACCAGCACGGACCTGACAGGGGCTCCCGAGGGTCCAGGCTCTGCCCCCCAAGTCTGGCAATGAGCATCGTTTCCAGAAGAGCACTGTGCAGGGACTCTGTCTCCCTGTATTTCCCTGCACATGGAACCCACGTGCCAGGCAGAAGCTGTGGTGTCTCTGTAGCAGCCCAAGCTCCCCAAGCCCAGCCCTTGTTGTCCTCACCTTTTGGTGACATCTGTCCCATGCATGTCTCAGAGCATCCACAGGGCGATGGGACTTCTGCTGGCCGACATCTGCCCAGAGGTGCCTGGATGAAGATGGAGAAGACTTTGCTGCTGCCCAGGTACAGCCTGTGTCCTCCAGTGTTTCAGCCTGGTCTCACAGGGGCAGTTTCTCCTGCCAAGGAGGCAGAACAGGTGGCTAACGAATGCTCCCAGGAGCAGAGAGAGGGCTTCGATTTCAGAGGGCTTTGTTATCTGGGTGCTCGTAATCCAATCTCCCAGGCTTGGCTTCCAGCAGCAGATCTGATACTCATCTGCCCCTGAAAGGCGAGCCCCTTCGCATTACGCAGCCAGGCAGTCTCCAGACCCAATGCTGCTCCCAGGACTGACACAGCCCCCCAGGGTGGTGCAGCCCCTCTGCCGCCTCCCCTGAGGACTTGGGGAGGAGAGCATTCAGGTAGGGATGGGGGACAGGAAAGGGGGAAGAAGGGGTACCCACATGGACCAAAATGCCTTTTGGAGAGGAAGTGGGGTCCTGGTGGTCTCTGGGAGAGGGTTGCAAATGTGTTGAGATGATGCTGAATCCACCCCAGTTCCCCCCCACCAACCTGCATGTTCCCTGCTGCTGGCATCCACAGCACAGTGCTCCAGGGCTGGCATGGAGCAGGGCTGTGGCATGGCCTGGCCCTCTGTGCACAGCTCCCAGCTCCTCCCCACCCCGTGGTGCCCACTGACCCATCGCCCCATGAAGGCAACTGGGATCTGGCCACCCCCAAATCTTTTGGGAGAAAAGGGGCATTCAGCACAGCTCACGGTGGGGACACACGGATAGCACAGCCCCATGGATGAGGGCACCCCAGAGCCCACCATAGGGCAGGGTCCCCAGTAGCCCCAGGAACCCACAGCCACTCCAGCTGCATGGAGCTGCTTCCTGCACTTCGGCTACAAGCTGATGTCCTTTCCCCAGCTTTAGCACTGACACATTTTCTTCCCTCCTCCCTCCCACCCTCCTCCACCCCCCAGCATGTCCCAGGCTGGTAGCAGCCCCTGTGCAGAGGACGGGGGGCCACGTGCCGAGGCACACACGCGCACCCCAAGCCGGGGCAGCCAGAAGCTTGAGTGCATCATCTGCTACTCCTCATATGACCTGTGTGGCCGGCTGCCTCGCCGGCTCTACTGCGGCCATACCTTCTGCCAGACCTGCCTCAAGCGCCTGGACGCCGTCGCCAACGAGCAGCGCTGGATCCCCTGCCCACAGTGCCGCCAAAATACGCCCACACCGCGCGGCGGTGTCACCATGCTCGACCTCGACCTGGCCACTTTTCTCCTCGTCAAGGCTGACAAGGAGCATCCCCGGGTGGCCGCACGCTCCCTGCAGGATGTGGCCACCAAGGACTTGTGCAAGGAGCCGCCGGTCACGCAGCAGCCGCTGGGGCTGTGCCAGGACGCCGTGCCCCGGGCACCGTTCCCGAACCGTGGCTGCTGCCGGCCGTGCATCTGCTGTGGGGTGACGGCAGCTTTTGAGATCTGAATGTGGGGACATGAGGACAGCAGGGTTTGGTGGACTGAAGCATTCTGTGCCTCCAAGCTGAGCTCTTGGGGTACTGCCTGGGTCACATTTTGGGAATCTCCACGCCACGCCCCAGAGTCATTGTGGATAGCAGTGGTGGGGTTGTTCTGGTAGTCTAGGAAAGGCTCCAGCTTGTCCATGGGCTTTTTCCCATTCTGTTGGGATTTGGGCTGCAACAAGGGCGATGAGAGAGCTCCCATCCTTCACCCTGCCGACTGACCCCTCCAGCAGCTCCAAACCTGCTCCAGCCATCACAGATGCTCCCAGGACCTAACAGCACAGCTTCTTCATGAATGCAGCTCTGCAGTGGGGGCACCTTCACCAGGACAGGTGGCATGGGAGCCTGGCACAGCACACTGACTCAGGGATGCTTCAGGGAGTGTGCCACAGCCTGGAGGTCCCACATCCATTAAACATCTCCTAAGCTGCACATGTGGCATTTGTTGTTCATCCTCATGCTAACTCGGGGCAAGTCTTGCACCCAGAGCAGGAAGCAGGGACCTGCTTTGCCCAATTGCTTTTCTTTGCTTGCTTTGTCATTTGCGTGAGAAATATGGGGCACTGGGGCAGCTGGACAGTGCAAATTGAGGATGACATTGTCACTGGGGCTCTTTGGATTGATCTTGCCTCCAATTGCTGTGCTCTAGCACAATGTGGGCTTAGCAGATGCCAAATGTGGAGGTCTGGAGTGCACCAGGGTGATGTTAATGCAGCTCCTGGGGAGGGCTGGGTGGACTCTGAGTCCATTTCCATGTGGCTGATGAGTTCTTGCAGCATCCCATTGCAGGGCACCACGGTGCCACCTCAGCTCTGCCCTGCTCCAGGTGCCAGGACTGCAGCTGCAAGATCCCAGTGCCCTCACTTGGCGCGGCAGCCACGGTGTGCGCAGCACATCCACAGTTCTGCCACTTGGTGTCACCTATCATAGAAGAGTCGGAGCCCCGAGCTGTGTATAGCAGAGTCCAGGCACCTGCATCTCCATCGCTTCATTTTGGGAATGGTTTTGGCCTGTTGTCTGGGCACCCCATTTCAGTCCCCTTGTGCAGTGCCTTCAGGACCACTGTCAACCAGCACAGCCCTAGTGCTACTGCTGTAGAACAGGGATGCTCAGAGCCACACCTGGTGCTGGCCATGGGACTGGGCTTAGAAGCCCAAAATCTCCAAAGGAGGCATTGCTGTGGTGTGCAGCCCTAGCTGAGGATGGGGACTTGCAGATGCTGTGCTCCCTGTCCAGAGAAGGGATGAGTGAAAGGGACCCAAAGGGCCATACTGCTGTTGGTGTTGGGAACAGGGTGCCCAGCAGAGGACTTACAGGGATAGTGAGGGGATGGTGGTGACGCTGCTGGGGTGCCAGGCCCACTGGTGGAGATGCATCTTGCCACTTGTCACTGAGGTGTGCTGCAGAGTGGCAGTGAGTGAGAGCTCTGAGATGCTTCACATCTTCAATGGGCTCCCTGAGCTTTTGCTGGAAATGACCTTGTAATCTTTTTCTTGATCATTTTTACACCTTGGTGCATTGGGCAATGAACCTCTGAGTGCACTGGGTCCCTGAAAACTCAAATCCTCATCCATCCCAGGGTGCTGCACATTAGTGGGTGCTGCAGGGCCCTGTGGAGCGTGGCTGTGCCCTACCAGGGCTGGGCTGGGCTGGGTAGGAAGATTCCTCTGAATTATTTCCAGATGGGGATTAATGCAGCATACTGAGTTTGCTGCAGGGTAGATAAACAAATCAAAGCTCCTCTAGAGGCTATTAATAAACCGGTCTGCCTGCCGCTCCTGCCCCGGATCTGAGAACATCCCAGTTCTGGCTGGGGGTGCAGGTTCTGCACGGGTGGCAGGAGGTCTCCTGGGTCCCAAATGGCAAAGGAGCCATGAGGACACCTCCAATCCATTGCTGAGATGGGTGGTATGAGGTCCCCTGGTTCCCAAGGGCTTCTCAGGGAACTGAGGCATGGGGAGCTAGAACCTCCCTCCTTCAGCACCCGCTGTGGGGCTTGGAAACTAGAGTACATGTAAACAGGGTGGGGGCAGACTTTGAGCCCGCTGGTGCTGGCACTGCCATGCCAAGGCCAGGATGAACATGTTCCAAGTGGCAGCAGCCTGGCACAGCCACCTTCCTTGTGTCGAGTGGAGGTCACATCCCAGCTCCCCTCACCCTGCCCCGGCTGCCGGTCCCCAGCCAAGGGAAACAGATCCCAGCCAAGGGCTGCCCACAGGGGACACCTGGCAGGACCTCTGCTGATGACATGATTGATGCTTTGTCCCATCCTTGCTGGGTACTTCGCTCTGGGTCCTCTGTGCATCCTGTGAGCAGGACACAGGCCAGAAGATCATTTTTTCCCCCTCCCCAGCCTGCAGTGCACACAAGCAGTTAAATAAGGACAGCACAGATCTGGCTGCTTACCTGGCTGGAGCAGTGCCTGGCAAGGGGAGGGGTGAGGGCACGGCCGCACCTTGCCAGGGCAAGCATCACTGCAAAAATATTTGCTAAGAAAAGTGCGGCTCCACCCCGAGCACAACACAGCATGCAGTGGGGAATGCGTGCAGCTACCGGGAGCCAGGCACATCCAGCTGCTCACTGCACCCAATGGTGCCAGTCAGGGACGCGGGGCTAGGCAAGGCCATCAGGCATCCCGCCATGGGGGCAACGCCGATGCCAGGGACTGGGGAGCCTCCACTGCGCGGGTGGGCAGCCACGGGTGGATGGAGGGGTCCCAGCGTCCTGCTGGCCCTACTGCTCCTCCTGTGCCCACTGCCTGCTCCAGCGTGTCCCCACACCTGCCACTGCCAGGCAGGGGAGGTGGACTGCCACCAACGTGACCTGCACGAGGTGCCGCGGCTCCTGCCCACCAATGCCAGCACCCTCTGGCTCGACTACAACCTCATCGCCGTGCTCAGGGCCCATGCTTTCCCCTCCCTGCCGGTGCTGCTGCGGCTCAGCCTGACCCATAACCGCTTGGAGAAGATCCACAGGCAGGCGCTGCTGGGACTCGGGACGCTGCAGGAGCTGGACCTCAGTGACAACTACCTGTCTGTGCTGAGCCCCGAGACCTTCCTGCCCCTCACCAGCCTGTCTATCCTCAATTTAGGCTACAACAGGCTGGAGCAGCTGGAGGCAGGTGTGCTACCTGCCCTGCCTCAGCTCCAAGTGATCTTCCTGAATGGGAACCCCTGGATGTGCTCCTGCAGCATCCTGCCCCTCTGGCGCTGGCTGGAACACAACAGGGAGAAAGTGCCAGGTGAGTGCCCAAGGGAATGTGTCCCCACACCCCCACCTGCTCCGCCTTCTCTGGGCTCCCCCATCAGCTGCCAGGCTTTGCGTGCAGGGGCTGGGGTTCCTGCAAGGTTCCCAAAAGCCAGCCCCATTTGGGTGGATTTGTCCTCAGATCTGGTTCCTCGTGGCCGCTCCTTGGTCACCAACAGGGACTGCCCAGAGTGGTGGGGTCGGCACCCTGTACTGTCCCACTGTCTCCCTGCCACAGGGAGGGTAAGGATGGGCAATGTGCACCTGTGGGGTGGGCGTCACACTTGACTTGATCAAGGCCCGATGCCTTCAGCCTCTTCCCTATGGGGAAGACCCTATGAGTGTGGGTCTGATCCACTGGTGAGGTCTTTCCTTCCACTCCTTCCCATCCATTTCCACTGGTGGGGCTTTCTGTGCCATTTCCAGACTGCCTGCTCACTGCTGCCCCCAGGGAGCCATTCCCCTCTCTGCCTGACCCATCCTGCCCTGGTCTGTGCCCACCTCCCCATCCATCCCACTCCCCAGGGTATAGGACATGGATGAGTGTGGGACCCTCCCTGCTTCCTTTCTTTGAGCCCTACTCTGTGCCACTTTGACCAGCCTGGCCTTGCAGTCCATCCTCCTGCCCTGGTCCCCTGTGTCCCACACAGCCCTACTGTCCCACCTGCCTTGTCCCCTCATATGCCCACCACCACCACTTCTCTCTTCCAGAGAGGAGTTCTCTCCGGTGCATGTTCCCAAAGTCACTGAACACATACCCGATCATGGCCTTTGGGAATGATTCCTTCCAGCAGTGTCAGAAGATCCCGCTGTCAGCCCAGAACTACGCTGCCTTTCTGCTCATCGGTCCCTTCTCCTTCCTGGCCAGCATCTTCTGCTGTACCTTGATAGGCTCCATCGTGGTCATTTACCAGCATCTACGCAAGGAACCCCAAAGCTGGAGGAGAACCCTCAGCACTGGGTGTCACTGAGTCAGGGCCACCAAGGGCAGAGGGGACTTTTTGCTGATCCTTTTCCTCTGGCTCACCCCCTCTTGCCTCATTCCATGCATTTGAGTGTGTCCCATTTACCTCCTTGTGTCTTTCAGTGCTCTCATCACCCTCCACCCTGCATTCAGTGACTCTCAGCAATCCTTCACACATCCCTCCTGTCCTATGGTTTGGTTTTTGGTGCATCCACATGCCATCTGTTTGGCTTTATGTGTGCCCCAGATATCTATGGGCCTACCAGTGCATTTGAGGACCTTTTGGGGCAACCCAGAGCCTCCATCCATGTGGCAGATGGAAGTAGAATTGTAGAATCATGGAACCATTTGAGTTAGAAGGGTTCTTTAAGAGCATTTGGTCCAAATCCCCTGCAATGAACAGGGACAGCTATAGCTCCATCAGGTGCTCCGAGCCCCATCCAGCCTGATCCTGAATGTCTGTAGGAATGGGGCATCCACCACCTTTGGTGGTGCTTCTTTTTGTAAAAAAAAACCTTTTTCTTATATGCAAAAGTACAACTGGGGTGAAGGGGGTAACTCTCACAGAGGAGAAACAGTCCCTGTGCACTGCAAGGCAATGGGAGCCACAGTGAGATGCCTGTGAACATCAACCTTTCTCCACTAGCTCCAATGGCATAGAAATGATTTCCTGCCTGTGCAAGAGCTGTAGGACAAGCCAGGGATGTGGCCAATGCATCCTTTGGCAAGCTTTTGGCAGAAGTTAAATAAGTCATACAGAGAATAAACTAAATGTAACCTCAGCTGTGGCCTGCTCTCATTTTTATTGGCAAGACACAGACCAGCCCTGTGTGCATATGTGGCTCTCTGGGAAGGTCTGGGCTTCCCATGAGGAGCTAGGACCTTGTCTGACATCCCCCACAGCCACCTGGCTGCCTGCTCCTCCCAGGCGCACAGCCATCCTCCCTGGGGACTCAAACCATTGTGGCCACTGGCTGGGAACATGGGGACAAACGTCAAGCCATGAAGAAGAAAGGGAGGCAAAGCTGGAAGGGAATGATGTCATGGATGATGTCACAAGCTTATTGGGGGTTGTATGGCATAGCAAAGAAAAACACTAGGAGGCAAAGGGAGCGTGGGGTTGCTGCTGGGCCCTTCTCTCCACTTGCCTCCATGTTGGGCATGAGCATAAGGTCCTGCAGTGGCTGGTGAGATGGCTGCTGTCACCAGCCCAAGGGGGGAAATATGTCCCAGCAGCCTCAACCCAGATTGCATCAGGATGGAGGTGGGCAAAGCCAGCTTGCATGGTGCTGGTGTTTGGCTTCAGCCTGGGTCTGTCCACACAATCTCCATCCGTCCTGCCATCCTAGAATAGGAATGCCTCACTCCTCCCCACCCTCCCTGCAGCTCCTGGCCCTCTCCCTGCTCCATCCCTCCCTGTCCCCCCACCTTTTTGCCATGAGCCCTGCAGAAGTGCTGGGTGAGGCTCTGATTTAGCACAGGGCTTCCTGCCAGCTCTGCTGAGAGGGAGAAACAGATGGAGGCACACGGCGCAGCAATAAACCACTCCACAATCCAGTCTAGACTTTACTGAGCTCTTGCAAAAACTTGGTATCAATGTTACACTGACGTATAAAGTTGAATGGTCCTGATTTCTCAGCTGGAGTGAGATGAACTTGATGGAGCCACTGCAGTCAGTGGGACAATGCTCATAGACCCCAGCTGCCACCCGAAAATCTTGCCGGCCCTGTCTGCCACACCTGCTTGGCTGGGGCAAGGAGGAGGTGGTGCTCTCCACAGGGGCTTGGTACCACATTGCAGGTGGGTTTTCTGCCCTTGTTGCTCATACACACTCTGCAGGCACTCATCCCCAACCTGGATGGTGTTTCCTGGGTGTTGGAGTGCTCATGGCTGCTTGAAACACCTGCTTGTAGAAGCTCGGTGCATGGGGAGGAGTAGCTCTGAGCGGTCTTGCTTAGTCGCCTTCTGCTGAGCTGGCACTCGGTTTGCCTTGTTTGTCTCCTGGTCATGTCAGCTACAGTGTGAAAGTTACGTGCTGGCCATGGCCAGGCCTTGGGGATGCCTTGTGTGCAGATATGGGAAGCCAGGATCTTGGCTGGGAGCTCCAGAGCACCACATTTGGTCATGGGCACTGAGCAGGGGCTGATGGAGGGGAACGGGCGCTCATCCCCTGGCCACGAGAAGCGTGCACATCTCCCAGCCCTGCTGTGCTGGTGGCAGATCTCTGCATGGCAGCAGTCCCTGGCCGCTCCACGAGAACATCTCTGGGATCTGTGGGAACCCAGAGCCTGCAAAGCCAAACACGTGGCTGCAGCCTGACACCGGCTCTTCCCTACCACTGCAGGACAGCAGGCACCACGTGCCTTCCAAGTCCTTTCCCCTCACACGCAGCCGGTCAGTGGCAATACTGATCAACAACAGCACTGGTTGGGAGCGGTTTTCTCTGTACAGTGAAGTCCAAACCCTGTCCTGGTTCTGCCGTGCATTTTGGGGCGTGAGTATGGCAGCAGGCCTAGGGAGGGAGGGAGATATACAATGAAGTCACCGTGTATGGATGAAGGATGCTTTACTCCCATCTCACCCTGAAGAACCCATCAGTGTCCCTTGAGAGGCAGTCCTGGCTGTGCCTTCCTACTGTGCCGGGCAAGGACTGATGGCCCTTGGGGAGAAGGTCAAACCACAGTGCTGACGGAGGGGTCGGAGAGGTTGAGCTGGCCGGTGATGTCAGTGGGATGGTATTGCTGCAACACACAAATACACAGACAGAGAGAGAGGAGCGTTAGGCAGTCCTGGCACTCTCCCCCGCATCTCCTCACACCTCCTGTGTCCCTACGGGATATCTCTGGGGGTGATGCAAAGGCCCCATACCTGCTCGTGGCTGAGGTCCCCTGTGCTCCAGCCTCGTGCAGAGGTCCTTGCAGACGCTCTCCATGCACTCTATGGCCGGATGGGGAGGAGACTGGGGCATGGCGTGGTGCTTGGCACCTGTGGAGCCAGCCCTCGCCTTCTTAGGGAATGCCACAAGAAGAAGCTGTGACTTGCCAGCCCAGCCCACGGCTGAGCATGTGGCTGCAGGGCATGGCCGGTGGCAGCTCCAGCTGTGCTCTGAGGCCATGGCAGTGCATCTCCCTGCCTGAGTGCCTCTGCTCTTCCTACCCTTGTGCGCAGGTGAGGAGCTGTGCTGTGCGGCTGATTGGCGACAAGCTGTAGTGTCACTTGCTAATGTGAAAGTGCAGCCTGTGCAGATGTGGCCTGGATTCGGGGTTCTGAACTCCTTGCAGTGGGGTGCTCAGCCAACACCCCTGGGAAAAACCTCCCCAGCTGCATCCCCACCAGCAGGGAGAGCAGAAACACCTCTGTAACAGCAAAAAAAAAAAAAAAAAGAAAAAAAGCCTTTCTCCCCAGCTAGGGGCTAGCAAATGGGCAGCTGATTCCTCCCTGCCTCCTTCCTCTCATTCTCCTAGCTCCAAGCCCTGAGTGGTTGGGTGGCACCAGTGCCAACAGTGACACTGAGCCCTCTGTCATGCTGCTTTGGGGACCTAACGTGGTGCCAGGAAAAGATCTTGGTGTGCTGCTGTGTGAGCCCTCTCCATGGACATTTACCACACTACCTAGGAGGGCTGGTGGGCTACATGTGTGGTGGGCTTCCATGGGCTCCTTGGTCTTTAGAAGGATTTCACAGGATTTAATGCATCCTGTGTTTGTCAGCAGCAACTGTGACCCCTGTGCCTCTGCTGGTGGCTCTGGCACTGTGGCTACCCTGTGTGGGGAGGTCTGGTGGCCCCTTGAGCACGGCATGGGCTGTTTGGGGTTCGCCTGCTTGGTTTGAGGCTTCACAAGGACCCCAGTGGGAAACTGCTGGGGTGGGGACCGGAGCTAGCACGATCCCATCCATGTGGCGCATGTGGTGAGGAACATCTCTTGGGATGGCTCATCCATGTGGGGCACCAACAGCTATCAAAATGGAGCCTCTAAGAAATCCCAAGTGGCAACACCGTGGCCATCCCCTGGAGGTGCTGCTCTGCCAATCTGCTCTGTCACCCTGAGGAGCTTTCTGTGGCATTCTACTGGCCCACCAAAACCACACCTTTTCTAAAGGGGTGCAACCAAAACCTCAGCTGCGGTAGCAAAGCTGAAGGGATGGGGCTGGAGCCCCTCCAGGAGGAAAAGGCTTGCAGAGGGGAGAGGCAGGGCGGGCACCCATAGGAGATGATGCCAGCCTCTGCCGGAGGAAGAGCTCCAGATAAAAAAACTATAGGGGCAGAAGAAAAGATCCTTTGTTAAACACCCTGACGCAACCAGGAAAAAAGCAGTGTGGGTGCGAATGCGTGTGCCTCTGTGCACGTGGACGTGGGGCAGGAAGGGGGGGCCCGGCGGGGCGGGATGGAACAGAGTGCTCTGCCCTCTCTGCACAGCTCTGGGGGACCCTGACGTCACCACACGACCTGGGGAGCCTGGCAGGAGAACTGCGATACAGAGTGGGGCTTTGGGTTGAAAGCATATCTCCTCCAATCACAGAGTTATCACAGGGTAACATTCGCGTTTACTGGTTTTTTTTTTTGTTTTTTTTTTTTTGTGTAGAGTTCATGCATGCAGTTTTTAATATTAAAAAAAAAAAAAAAGAAAAAGAAAAAGGAAAAGGCAAAAAAAAAAAAAGCAAGAAAATTGTCATATCAAAACTATGTTAAAGTAGAACTAATTCTAGAAGCACATATCAGTAATTTAGGGTAAATGATGTTACAGGGATGGTGCAATTATCCCCAAACCAAACATTATAAAGCCAAGAAATTAATTAATATTAACTGCAGAAGAGACTCAAACATGTTAAGGTATGGAAGTGAAGTGAAGGCACCAAAAACTTTAAATGACATCAGGAAGAAAATATAGACAAGAAATCAATATGTCTTTAAAAATGACTTCAACCTAATCTGGGTTCACATGGCAGACCCTGGCTGGTGGGAGATTTTCTGGAAGAATTTGGGGTTTCTCTTTTTTTTTTTTTTTGATTAAAAATTAGGATTCCAGCTAAACACAATCTTGCTGTAGAAAATGTCAACTTTCCTTTAAAAAAAAAAAAATAGTTGTATTTGGCCTAGAGATGGTTGTTCGGGGCCAAAAACTAGGTTCTTTTTCAGCCAAAAAGCACTTGGTTTTGGGATGGCTGATCTCTCACTGAAAAGGTGACCTTTTCCATGTACCCCCTCCATTCTCGACCAGTTCTGGCATCGTCCCCACGCTCGAGGGGCCCTCGCTTGGCGGTGGCGTGGGACGTGTGCTGTGCTGTGCCTGCGGGGCCCGCGGGCTGGCAGTGGGGCTGTGGGGGCTGATGACGTCTGCAGTGTGGGCTAAGGGATCTGTGCGTCTCGGAACGTGTCTGTACGAAATGTGCCGGCTCGGAAGGTGTCTGTGTGGTTTATGCGTCTCACATGGCTTCTGTGGGGTTGCGGTAGCGTGGGTGGCTGCGATGGATGGCAGTACATCAGCTCTGCGAGTGCTATTCGAGTTGCAGGAGCTGCCTATGGGGAACACATGCATCTCCTCCTGGGGCGGTGGGGATGATGTGCCGCGGAGAGGCTGTGCAGCTCGGGTGATGGTGGGCGCTAGGACGTTCAGAGTGGGGTGGCAGCTTCCCGGGGCTGTCTTGGCTCCATGGTGCCAGCCTGTCTCTCTGGCACTCCTGAGGGACCATTCTGCAGGGCTGCAGAGCAGAATCCATTTTTAAAACTCCCGGCAACGAAAAGGGAAGAAACAAGGCCACCAGGTTTGCTAGCAAGGAGAGCCC